AATGTTAGTTATATTATGAAAATTGGCCAATCCATATTTATGTCTGGAACCGCTGTAATTAATCTGGATTATAACGTCTAAACTAAGCACGTTGTCCAGATTTTGTCCAGCAAGAATTTAAAAAGGGTTATTTTAAAAAACCATACAAATTACTAGAAGACAGGAATAAAAACTTATTTCCCTCCCTTAAAGCCCCTCATTAACTCAAACAACCACTCCTATTATCCCTCAACTATAAGAAATCTCGTCAAAAGCAACTTTCCAAAATTCAAACTAATTCGGATCCCCGAAAAATATATATTCTAATGCAGAATATTAGGGAATTCAACCACAAACTCATAGAGGTGTCCCACGTCTAAATCGGGATTCAATAACTCAATATACAGTTTTTGGTTTCGACCTTAAAAACTCTCGGATAATACGGAAAAATTAAACATGAAAATGGGCTAAAAATTTCACCCCTGCTTAAGTTCAGATTTATAAAAAAATTTAAAAGAGATTATTTACTTGTTAATCGCCATTTTGTTGAAAAGTAGGGCTAGGCTACGATAGTTTTAATACATCGATAAATGTATGGATTTGATACCGGCTGGCGAACGGGCACATTTAGCGGCCATGCCTAAGCTTCCGCATTCATTGCCTCGTCGTCCTTTGAGGAGGACATAGCTCCGGAATAAATCTTATTTACAACGGCAATCAGCCCGAAAAACCCTTCTACTTGTAGTGGCTATTTCCAGACCGGACACTTCCCATAAATTAAAGTGTTTAAATTTTATTATTTACGTCTCCAACCGTTCCTTGTCTACGTAAATTTATTTGGGAGGTAGCTCCGAGCACTTCCAATTCGACTTTTTTAAGTACAGCGCTTCGCAGTCACAAGCGTTACATTCGTTTGCGATGACCACTCAGGCATGGTCCAAGCGTAAGGTGGACAATTCTGACTCATCCTCGCTGATGCTGGTGTTACTGTCTCTGCAGACCATGAGCAAAAAGCAGTGTTTTATGAACGTGGTGCACATGTGCGGAGGGTTTACTAGTCGACTGAGATGTCGATGGTGTCACTGTCCCTGCAGACCATGAGCAAAAAGCAGTCGAAGGAAACAGATGGAGTGCATTCGCTGAAGCTGAGTGAAGCCACGTCTACTGCTAAGCGGAATTATTCTACGAGGAACTGAAGACGAAGAAATGCAGTCACAGATGTTACATTCGTTATTGACATCATTGAAAACTATTGCAAAAACATGTTTACAAAGTTATTTGGAAATAACAAAGTTTTTTACTGGGCGTGGTCGGAAGTTGTACAAACAAAATTGGTCACCTAACTCAAGATGTTCTTTTAATAATTTTCCAAAAATTCAATATCTACATTGCACGCGTTTAGCAGAACAACATGACAGACAGATGCGGAATTATTCTACGAGGAACTGAAGACGAAGAAATGCAGTCACAGATGTTACATTCGTTGGTGATGACCACTCCAGAGCTACGATCTTCCGGCATTACCTTTGTATAGGGAAGGAAGACTCCACCACCTTCATCGCAGCAATTAACCTGACAGGGATCCCACGTCTAAATCGGGTTAGAACAACTCAAGTTATGGACTCTAGAAGAGCACTTTTTGGTTCCCATTCAGAAAGCCATTGGAAATATGGAAAAATGGAACATAAAAAGGGGATCCTCATTTAAAAGATACATTTTAATGTTAATTATTAAAGGATCAAACTACAAACTCATAGAGGTATCCCACGTCTAAATCGGTATTCAATAACTCAAATTACAGTTTTTGGTTTCGACCTTAAAAGCTCTCGGATAATACGGAAAAATTAAACATGAAAATTGGTTAAAAATTTCAATCCTCTAAAAGAATAATTTTAGTGGTGACTAGAATTTAAAAAGGATTGCTTTCTTGTTACTCGCCATTTTGTTGAAAAGTAGGGCTAGGCTACGATAGTTTTAATACATCGATAAATGTATGGATTTGATACCGTCTGGCGAACGGGCACATTTAGCGGCCATGCCTAAGCTTCCGCATTCATTGCCCCGACGTCCTTTGAGGAGGACATAGCTCCGGAATAAATCTGATTTACAACGGCAATCAGCCCGAAAAACCCTTCTACTTGTAGTGGCTATTTCCAGACCGGACACTTCCCATAAATTAAAGTGTTTAAATTTTATTATTTACTTTTCCAACGTTTCCTTGTCTACGTAAATTTAATTGGGAGGTAGCTCCAAGCACTTCCAATTCGACTTTTTTAAGTACAGCGCTTCGCAGTCACAAGCGTTACATTCGTTTGCGATGACCACTCAGGCATGGTCCAAGCGTAAGGTGGACAATTCTGACTCATCCTCGCTGATGCTGGTGTTACTGTCTCTGCAGACCATGAGCAAAAAGCAGTGTTTCCATGAATTGATCTAAAATAGGTTCAATTTCTCGAGTGCCGGCTAAAATTTTTTGGGACTGAAATAGTTCCTGCTCTTACCCAACAACCTCGAAGAACTTTATAAATGTGGTGCACATGTGCGGAGGGTTCATTCGTCGACTGAGATGTCGATGGTGGCACTGTCTCTGCAGACCATTAGCAAAAAGCAGTCGAAGGAAACAGATGGAGTACACTCGCTGAAGCTCAGTGATGCCACGTCCACTGCCGAACGGAAATATTCTACGAGAACCTGAAGACAATCCAAAATCCACTCAAAAGTTTTACATTCGTTTGTGCTGTCCACTCCAAATTGTTCTTGCTTAAGGTGGTCAATTCGAACTCATAATCGCTGACGCTTGTGTCTTTGTCTCTGAAGACCATAAGCAAACAGCAGTGTTTCCAAGAATTGATCTAAAATAGGTTCAATTTCTCGAGGGCCGGCTAACATTTTTTGGGACTGAAATAGTTCCTGCTCTCACCCAAAAACCTCGAAGTGCTTGATGAAGGTCGTGCACATGTGCGGAGGGTTACTAGTCGACTGAGTCGAAGGTGTTTCTATCTCTGCAGACCATGAGCAAAAAGCAGTTGAAGGCAACAGATGGAGTGCATTCGCTGAAGCTGAGTGATGCCACGTCCACTGCCGAACGGAAATATTCTACGAGGGTCTGAAGACAATCCAATATCCAATCACAAGTGTTACATTCGTTTGTGATGACCACTCCAAATATTCTGGCATTGTTCGCGCGTAAGGTTGACTAATCGACCTGGAGCCCTTTCTTACCAGGAGTCTTTATTGCCGCTAATGTTTTAGGGGTATCTGCAGCACGGCGCTAAGTTCAAAGTGTTGGATGAAAGTCGCACATGTTCTCAGCCGTGTGGAATTATTCTATTGAAATTGCAATCATAAGGATTGTATTGGTTGTGAAGATGATTCCTTAGCCTTGATCTTCTGGCATTACCTTCGTGTGGGGAAGACGGCCCCTCAAAGTGTTGGATGAAAGTCGCACATGTTCTCAGCCGTGTGGAATTATTCTATTGAAATTGCAATCATAAGGATTGTATTGGTTGTGAAGATGATTCCTTAGCCTTGATCTTCTGGCATTACCTTCGTGTGGGGAAGACGGCCCTCACCCTTCATCGCGACAACGAGTTTGGAATATGTATCAACACATAATATGTTTTTTTTGTATCATATTTTTGACTTATTAATAATTTGACTAATCCTTTTTAGGATCTTTATGAAAATGCAAAACATCTTGAAAATATTAATTTTTCTTGCCAAAGTTTGTTGAACTTGTGTAGATACTTTTTAAGAGCTTTATAAAAATGCAAAACAGATTTTTGGTATTCACATGCCTTGTCAATATTAAATACTAAAATTGTGGTTTGAATACTAAAAATACTAAAATGTTGATTCTGATTTAGTGAAGGGGCGTTGTTAACCAAAAAGCCATGTGACCCCCAGTCTGAAATGACTGCATTCCAGAACCCAGAACAGAAAGTGATGACCCTTTTCATTCTATTTACACGAGAGCGGAACAAAAAAGTAGGTATGCGTTGCATGCATCTAGATGCAGATATTTGGAATGCACCTATATGCACCAAATAAAAACATTCTGTACGCAAATATTTAGAATTTCCCTGTAAGCTGTAACCAGGAATGCATCTATACGCTTAATAAATAAGAAATATCTGTTAGTATTTAATGTTAGTTATATTATGAAAATTGGCCAATCCATATTTATGTCTGGAACCGCTGTAATTAATCTGGATTATAACGTCTAAACTAAGCACGTTGTCCAGATTTTGTCCAGCAAGAATTTAAAAAGGGTTATTTTAAAAAACCATACAAATTACTAGAAGACAGGAATAAAAACTTATTTCCCTCCCTTAAAGCCCCTCATTAACTCAAACAACCACTCCTATTATCCCTCAACTATAAGAAATCTCGTCAAAAGCAACTTTCCAAAATTCAAACTAATTCGGATCCCCGAAAAATATATATTCTAATGCAGAATATTAGGGAATTCAACCACAAACTCATAGAGGTGTCCCACGTCTAAATCGGGATTCAATAACTCAATATACAGTTTTTGGTTTCGACCTTAAAAACTCTCGGATAATACGGAAAAATTAAACATGAAAATGGGCTAAAAATTTCACCCCTGCTTAAGTTCAGATTTATAAAAAAATTTAAAAGAGATTATTTACTTGTTAATCGCCATTTTGTTGAAAAGTAGGGCTAGGCTACGATAGTTTTAATACATCGATAAATGTATGGATTTGATACCGGCTGGCGAACGGGCACATTTAGCGGCCATGCCTAAGCTTCCGCATTCATTGCCTCGTCGTCCTTTGAGGAGGACATAGCTCCGGAATAAATCTTATTTACAACGGCAATCAGCCCGAAAAACCCTTCTACTTGTAGTGGCTATTTCCAGACCGGACACTTCCCATAAATTAAAGTGTTTAAATTTTATTATTTACGTCTCCAACCGTTCCTTGTCTACGTAAATTTATTTGGGAGGTAGCTCCGAGCACTTCCAATTCGACTTTTTTAAGTACAGCGCTTCGCAGTCACAAGCGTTACATTCGTTTGCGATGACCACTCAGGCATGGTCCAAGCGTAAGGTGGACAATTCTGACTCATCCTCGCTGATGCTGGTGTTACTGTCTCTGCAGACCATGAGCAAAAAGCAGTGTTTTATGAACGTGGTGCACATGTGCGGAGGGTTTACTAGTCGACTGAGATGTCGATGGTGTCACTGTCCCTGCAGACCATGAGCAAAAAGCAGTCGAAGGAAACAGATGGAGTGCATTCGCTGAAGCTGAGTGAAGCCACGTCTACTGCTAAGCGGAATTATTCTACGAGGAACTGAAGACGAAGAAATGCAGTCACAGATGTTACATTCGTTATTGACATCATTGAAAACTATTGCAAAAACATGTTTACAAAGTTATTTGGAAATAACAAAGTTTTTTACTGGGCGTGGTCGGAAGTTGTACAAACAAAATTGGTCACCTAACTCAAGATGTTCTTTTAATAATTTTCCAAAAATTCAATATCTACATTGCACGCGTTTAGCAGAACAACATGACAGACAGATGCGGAATTATTCTACGAGGAACTGAAGACGAAGAAATGCAGTCACAGATGTTACATTCGTTGGTGATGACCACTCCAGAGCTACGATCTTCCGGCATTACCTTTGTATAGGGAAGGAAGACTCCACCACCTTCATCGCAGCAATTAACCTGACAGGGATCCCCACAACTTTGACCCCTCTCGGTGTAATGAATACAGGCTGCACTCGGTGTTGGGATTGTCATAAAAGAGGTACTGTGACTGAACATCCTGGAGCCTTTCTAATCCCGAGTCTTCATTGTCGATGTCTTAGGGGTACCTCTAGCAAATTAAAGATCGAACACTTTAAAATTTTCTTTCACATTTATAAAAGATGCTTTTCTAGTCTTATTGACATCATTGAAAACTATTGCAAAAACATGTTTACAAAGTTATTTGGAAATAACAAAGTTTTTTACTGGGCGTGGTCGGAAGTTGTACAAACAAAATTGGTCACCTAACTCAAGATGTTCTTTTAATAATTTTCCAAAAATTCAATATCCGCATTGCACGCGTTTAGCAGAACAACATGACAGACAGATGTTGAACGCACATAGTTACTAATCTTGAGGCGAAAATTCTTGCATCATTAATTTATTCCGTTCTGGCGGTTGTTACCGTATTTTTAAAAACAGATATTACTACATTAATCAACACCGGACCCTTAATAAATAACTGGCTTATAAAAGCATTATCACATTTAAAAGGAAAATATAATAGCCTGAAAACAGTGTTCTTTTAGGCCACTTTTTATTACGTTGTGTACTGGGCCTAGCTGTTAAACGCGAGTTCATTCATTTTTCGTTTCGATGCTGATTCTATAGGCATTTTTCGTTTGTGTTTTGGAATTTTTGAAATGGTTTTTATACCTTATGCACACAGAAGGGGTCAGCGACTTTTTCCTCCATAAGAAATACACGTGTAGGAAAGAGACGGGGAAACTCGCTGCAGCGGAAAATGGCGTCGCACACGCAAATTGATTCAGTATTTCAGTGTGTTATTTAGTATTTTTTACGAGCTTATTTTGGTATTTTTTTGGAGAACGAAATGTATTTTATTTGCAACATGCAGAGGGTATTACCCGTCTGCGTTTTCTATCGAGTTACCTAAAGTAAAAATCCAAAAAATACCGAATATTTCGTCAATAAAAGCTACGTTTTTTTAATCCTATGCTCAATTCCAGGGCTATTGGTCTCACGGCGCTCATGTAGTCCATCAAGGTATCCAAATCGAAAGGACCCATTCTGCGAAAAAGCGAAACCCATTTTTTTTCGGGGACCAATTAAATTTACCTTGTGTGCAATAGTTACTCAAGATCCTCTGCGTTTTCGCTTATTACGCCGAAACCAATCTTTCCATTCGCTAGGTATTCCATGACCACCACGCGGTACCTCTCCTCCATAGCCAGTGGTCCATACTCGGGCACTTGGCACTTGGAGCACCGAACTCGGACATTGGAGACGCGCTGACCAGCGGGACCGGTCAAATCAAAAGCAAACCGAAGACCGGAAACCTGCAGGAATCTGTAGGATCTGGGCGAGGACGAACTGACGTTCATGGGCGCCACACCGTGCTCCAGAAGCTCCACAATGTGCTTCCCACGAAGAGTTAGGGCGACCAATCGATTCTGCCAGGGGCACATGGCAAACAGTTGCTTATAGGTGATGTATGCGAAGGAAAATTCATCTAAGGATCAACACAATACAATACATTTTTAAAAAATACTTGATTTTTTTTTAATTTAAATATTTTTAAAAGGAAAAAAGTAAGCTATAAAATTAACCCTAAATGTAGAATATTAGGGAATTCCACCACAAACTCATGGAGGTATGCCACTTCTAAATCGGGTTAGAACAACTCAAGTTATGGAATCTAGAAGAGCAGTTTTTGGTTCCCATTCTGAAAGCTATTGGAAATACGGAAAAATCAAACATGAAAATGGGCTAAAAATGTGACCATCTCTAGAAATATATATTTAAATGTAGAATATTAGGAAATTCAACCACAAACTCATATAGGTATCCCACGTCTAAATCGGGTGAGAATAACTCAAGTTATGGAATCTAGAAGAGCAGTTTATGGTTCCCATTCTGAAAGCCATTGAAAATATGGAAAAAAAAGAACATGAAAGTGGGTTACAATTTTGGTACCCTCGCTAAAAATCTAAAATCTAAAACTGCAGTTTTTGGTTCCCATTCTGAAAGCCATTGGAAATACGGAAAAATCAAACATGAACATGGGCTAAATATGTGACCCTCTCCAAAAATATATATTCTAATGCAGAATATTAGGGAATTCAACCACAAACTCATAGAGGTGTCCCACGTCTAAATCGGGATTCAATAACTCAATTTACAGTTTTTGGTTTCGACCTTAAAAACTCTCGGATAATACGGAAAAATTAAACATGAAAATGGGCTAAAAATTTCACCCCTGCTTAAGTTCAGATTTATAAAAAAATTTAAAAGAGATTATTTACTTGTTAATCGCCATTTTGTTGAAAAGTAGGGCTAGGCTACGATAGTTTTAATACATCGATAAATGTGTGGATTTGATACCGGCTGGCGAACGGGCACATTTAGCGGTCATGAGTAAGCTTCCGCATTTATTGCCTCGTCGTCCTTTGAGGAGGGCATAGCTCCGGAATAAATCTGATTTACAACGACAATCAGCCCGAAAAACCCTTCTACTTGTAGTGCCGATATCCAGACCGGGCACTTCCCATATATTAAAATGTTTAAATTTTATTATTTTTTTTATTACGTGTCCAACGTTTCCTTGTCTACGTAAATTTATTTGGGAGGTAGCTCCGAGCACTTCCAATTCGTCTTTTTTAAATACAGCACGGCGACAGGCTGCAGTTACCCAGTTCATGGAGCTGGTTTCGCAGTCACAAGCGTTACATTCGTTCGCGATGACCACTCCAAATTTTCAGGCATGGTCCAAGCGTAGGGTGGACAATTCTGACTCATCCTCGCTGATGCTGGTGTCACTGTCTCTGCAAACCATGAGCAAAAAGCAGTGTTTTATGAACGTGGTGCACATGTGCGGAGGGTTTACTAGTCGACTGAGATGTCGATGGTGTCACTGTCCCTGCAGACCATGAGCAAAAAGCAGTCGAAGGAAACAGGTGGAGTGCATTCGCTGAAGCTGAGTGAAGCCACGTCTACTGCTAAGCGGAATTATTCTACGAGGAACTGAAGACGAAGAAATGCAGTCACAGATGTTACATTCGTTATTGACATCATTGAAAACTATTGCAAAAACATGTTTACAAAGTTATTTGGAAATAACAAAGTTTTTTACTGGGCGTGGTCGGAAGTTGTACAAACAAAATTGGTCACCTAACTCAAGATGTTCTTTTAATAATTTTCCAAAAATTCAATATCCGCATTGCACGCGTTTAGCAGAACAACATGACAGACAGATGCGGAATTATTCTACGAGGAACTGAAGACGAAGAAATGCAGTCACAGATGTTACATTCGTTGGTGATGACTACTCCAGAGCTACGATCTTCCGGCATTACCTTTGTGTAGGGAAGACGGACTTCTCCACCTTCATCGCAGCAATTAACCTGACAGGGATCCCCACAACTTTGACCCCTCTGGGTGTAACGAATACAGGCTGCACTCGGTGTTGAGATTGTCATAAAAGAGGTACTGTGACTGAACATCCTGGAGCCTTTCTAATCCCGAGTCTTCATTGTCGATGTCTTAGGGGTACCTCTAGCAAATTAAAGATCGAACACTTTAAAATTTTCTTTCACATTTATAAAAGATGCTTTTCTAGTCTTATTGACATCATTGAAAACTATTGCAAAAACATGTTTACAAAGTTATTTGGAAATAACAAAGTTTTTTACTGGGCGTGGTCGGAAGTTGTACAAACAAAATTGGTCACCTAACTCAAGATGTTCTTTTAATAATTTTCCAAAAATTCAATATCCGCATTGCACGCGTTTAGCAGAACAACATGACAGACAGATGTTGAACGCACATAGTTACTAATCTTGAGGCGAAAATTCTTGCATCATTAATTTATTCCGTTCTGGCGGTTGTTACCGTATTTTTAAAAACAGATATTACTACATTAATCAACACCGGACCCTTAATAAATAACTGGCTTATAAAAGCATTATCACATTTAAAAGGAAAATATAATAGCCTGAAAACAGTGTTCTTTTAGGCCACTTTTTATTACGTTGTGTACTGGGCCTAGCTGTTAAACGCGAGTTCATTCATTTTTCGTTTCGATGCTGATTCTATAGGCATTTTTCGTTTGTGTTTTGGAATTTTTGAAATGGTTTTTATACCTTATGCACACAGAAGGGGTCAGCGACTTTTTCCTCCATAAGAAATACACGTGTAGGAAAGAGACGGGGAAACTCGCTGCAGCGGAAAATGGCGTCGCACACGCAAATTGATTCAGTATTTCAGTGTGTTATTTAGTATTTTTTACGAGCTTATTTTGGTATTTTTTTGGAGAACGAAATGTATTTTATTTGCAACATGCAGAGGGTATTACCCGTCTGCGTTTTCTATCGAGTTACCTAAAGTAAAAATCCAAAAAATACCGAATATTTCGTCAATAAAAGCTACGTTTTTTTAATCCTATGCTCAATTCCAGGGCTATTGGTCTCACGGCGCTCATGTAGTCCATCAAGGTATCCAAATCGAAAGGACCCATTCTGCGAAAAAGCGAAACCCTTTTTTTTTCGGGGACCAATTAAATTTACCTTGTGTGCAATAGTTACTCAAGATCCTCTGCGTTTTCGCTTATTACGCCGAAACCAATCTTTCCATTCGCTAGGTATTCCATGACCACCACGCGGTACCTCTCCTCCATAGCCAGTGGTCCATACTCGGGCACTTGGCACTTGGAGCACCGAACTCGGACATTGGAGACGCGCTGACCAGCGGGACCGGTCAAATCAAAAGCAAACCGAAGACCGGAAACCTGCAGGAATCTGTAGGATCTGGGCGAGGACGAACTGACGTTCATGGGCGCCACACCGTGCTCCAGAAGCTCCACAATGTGCTTCCCACGAAGAGTTAGGGCGACCAATCGATTCTGCCAGGGGCACATGGCAAACAGTTGCTTATAGGTGATGTATGCGAAGGAAAATTCATCTAAGGATCAACACAATACAATACATTTTTAAAAAATACTTGATTTTTTTTTAATTTAAATATTTTTAAAAGGAAAAAAGTAAGCTATAAAATTAACCCTAAATGTAGAATATTAGGGAATTCCACCACAAACTCATGGAGGTATGCCACTTCTAAATCGGGTTAGAACAACTCAAGTTATGGAATCTAGAAGAGCAGTTTTTGGTTCCCATTCTGAAAGCTATTGGAAATACGGAAAAATCAAACATGAAAATGGGCTAAAAATGTGACCATCTCTAGAAATATATATTTAAATGTAGAATATTAGGAAATTCAATCACAAACTCATATAGGTATCCCACGTCTAAATCGGGTGAGAATAACTCAAGTTATGGAATCTAGAAGAGCAGTTTATAGTTCCCATTCTGAAAG